TTCATCGTCATCAATTTCCTCATCAGTTCATCGTCATCAATATCCTCACCAGTTCATCGTCACCAATATCCTTATCAATTCATCGTCATCAATTTCCTCATCAGTTCATCGTCATCAATATCCTCATCAGTTCATCGTCATCAATTTCCTCATCAGTTCATCGTCATCAATTTCCTCATAAGTCCATCATCGTCATCAATATCCTCATCAGTTTATCATTGTCATCAATTTCCTCATCAGTTCATCGTCATCAATTTCCTCATCAGTTCATCGTCATCAATATCCTCATCAGTTCATCGTCATCAATATCCTCATCAGTTCATCGTCATCAATTTCCTCACCAGTTCATCGTCACCAATATCCTCATCAGTTCATCGTCATCAATATCTTCATCAATTCATCGTCACCAATATCTTCATCAGTTTATCATTGTCATCAATATCCTTATCAATTCATCGTCATCAATTTCCTCATCAGTTCATCGTCATCAATATCCTCATCAATTCATCGTCATCAATTTCCTCATCAGTTCATCGTCATCAATATCCTTATCAATTCATCGTCATCAATATCTTCATCAATTCATCGTCACCAATATCCTTATCAATTCATCGTCATCAATTTCCTCATCAGTTCATCGTCATCAATATCCTCATCAATTCATCGTCATCAATATCCTCATCAGTTCATCGTCACCAATATCCTCATCAGTTCATCGTCATCAATTTCCTTATCAATTCATCGTCATCAATATCCTCATCAATTCATCGTCATCAATATCCTTATCAATTCATCGTCATCAATATCTTCATCAATTCATCGTCATCAATATCCTTATCAATTCATCGTCATCAATATCTTCATCAATTCATCGTCATCAATATCCTCATCAGTTCATCGTCACCAATATCCTCATCAGTTCATCGTCATCAATATCCTCATCAATTCATCGTCATCAATATCCTCATCAGTTCATCGTCACCAATATCCTCATCAGTTCATCGTCATCAATTTCCTCATCAGTTCATCGTCACCAATATCCTCATCAGTTCATCGTCATCAATTTCCTCATCAGTTCATCGTCATCAATATCCTCATCAATTCATCGTCATCAATATCCTCATCAGTTCATCGTCATCAATATCCTCATCAATTCATCGTCACCAATATCCTCATCAGTTCATCGTCATCAATATCTTCATCAATTCATCGTCACCAATATCCTCATCAGTTCATCGTCACCAATATCCTTATCAATTCATCGTCATCAATTTCCTCATCAGTTCATCGTCATCAATATCCTCATCAGTTCATCGTCATCAATATCCTCATCAATTCATCGTCATCACAACGAGTCACTACGAAAACTGTTTGTTACATTAGATGTTATTCTGCTGTAAGCCTTTGTTACAATCTTTTCATTACGTAAACAAGACGTAGCTGGTCGAATCTATCCGAAATATGGGTAAAATGAAATGATAGCTGGTTACAAAACATATCTTTTTATCATTTACACAAAAACTGTATGTCATATCAGATACAAACCCATTTACTTTGGTTTTATATTAGATTTTTAATTCCTATGGTATCATGTTCTATCTATGCATCTCCTTAATGTGGTATCGGCTGTAATCACAGTTACCGATGGAGCTATTTCAATAAGAAACATGACGGCGATACGTATGTTAACTCTGTCGTTCTAAACGCATCGTAACACTTATCTCTATCTATTTATTTCAAAATGTGTGCTACTGAATCATATTATAGCCATTTTACAGACACAGAACACTATGGTTTGATTTTCTCACATCATTAATGCCCTATAACCGGTACGTTTGATGTAAGTAAATGATGAAGAGGAATGTGAAATGGACGAATGACATAAAACCGCTCCCTCTAGAAGCACGAAATTACAGGGAAGGCTTCTAAATCGTCGTCATTCCATGTGTCTTTTAAGAAGGATGACCAGTGTCCAGTCCCGGGCGACAACAGGGACGGGACGACCTCTGATTAATGGGCCCGATAACGCAACACCAAGGTTTTTATGATAACATCTTGGTCTTTGTCCACTAACCGGTCAGCTGGACCTAGCTTGACCGCAGCAGTAAATTTGAATTGGTCACTTAATGACCATTTGCAGCAAACAAGTGGGTATTAAGATCTTACGCCAGACAAGTGCCTTTCAGCTTAGGGTAGGTAAATATCAATTTTCTCCCCGTGCGAAAAAATTACACAAGGTGTTTACGTTCGATTTCCGAAGAGACAGTGTGTGTAGGGTACCGAGGGCCCCGGGGAATGAGTCTTATTATCCGTCGTAAGGAGAAACTGATATTCAAAAGAAAATATTTAAAGTATTAGATTTGACGATTTGACTGTAAACGCAGAGAGCTGTTAAAATTACAATCTTTGTGTAATAGGTTTTCGTTACTTGTATGGAAATTCCCATTAAGATCGTCAATATAACGCTGAAAATGAAAAGTACTCGTAATTTATCTAACGAGGTTTATTCAAATATTGAGACAGGCTTAAAGGCTAAATTAACAAATATTTTTACTAAATCAAGTTCATTAGTGTGGTAATCTAGAGCGAATTTCTCAGTTTCCTGTGCCAGCAGTTCCGTTCATACAAAAAAGTGTCAACACTGTTTTCTAAAGTAGGTAATCTATCGACTACGTAATCGATAAATACTCCTTTACTAGCATCATTCCATTTTTTGTGTTTCGACACATAATTACTATTTTCGAAAACCTCAGTATTGCTACAAGTATTACATTTTATGGACAAACACAGATGAATGGAACAGTGTACATCTGACAATAAGCAATAAACTTTATTAAATAATTCAAAATTATCTATACAAAAGTCAGTCACACTAGTGTTTTCATTTTCCGACCCATCTGTCATCACTAATCGGCTATTTAAAATGAAAACATTACAATGACTACATAATTCTAGTAGGTGTTTTCCATAGTGATTTAACATTTCATCCGGGGAACATCTTATTTTTGGTACATAAATATCTTCAAACTCATGAACATCTGAAATATCAATATTTTCATCAATTATCTCAATAAAGTCAGGTGAATCTGTTGTTCTACTTTTAAAGTCGCCGAGTAAAAAATATATCTAACGTCATTACAAAAAAAAATCAGCAATTCATTTTCAACATCATCAAAACATTCTATTGAAGAGTATTTGGAATTAGCAGGGGGTAAGTAAATTATACAGAACATTGCCTTCATGATTGAGAAAAGAGCTCTTCATTTTAACCCATCGCGTATGACTGGTGTCTGTTTTTAAATGATATATATACTTTGCACATTCATTAGTAACATTAACAGCTATACCACCAGATTTGAACACAGATAAGTTTTTTTTTCTATGTTTGCACTGTGTATCCCTCTATATCAATTGAGTCTGCGTTATCAGTCTTAGACTCAGTAATGCAGATCATGTCGTATTGTTGGAAATGCTCCATAAATTCTGCACATTTAAGTTTACTTACAAGTCCATTTACATTTATGCAAGTTACTTAAAACGTAGAACCATTAAGACATTTGGACGGTTCTCCCTCCGCGTGCTCCTAGACAGTTTTGAGATATGTCTCTTTATCCGATCGAACTGCAGGAGGTTTTAAACCCCGCTGTGGGTTATATAATATATGAAATCTAGGATTTTCGGATGTGAATCTTCTGCCTTTAACAGGAGGAGTTACTCTGGATTTGTTGGAATGAGATGGGTTAGGCGATTCCGTACGACTGGGTGGTCCGAACACATTAAACGAAGGACGCGGAGAAATGACAAAGCTGTATGTAGTCTTGTGATAAGAAAAGTTTTAATGATATACGTACTATGTTTATAAACGACTAGTTGATTCCGATGTTAAAATAAACACTGCGTAATCAAAATGTACTGATATCGTTTAATCGGTTAACTATAATGCATAGTGAGTATTAGTGTGCCCTCTAGTAAGAGGCGACTAATGTGCTATCCAGTAGGGAAAAACTTATGTGTTACTTTCTTGCAAAAGATGGTTAGTGTGTCTTTTCACGGGGTTTCAAGATCTGTTTCTATCTTAAACCTAAATAATTACAGCGTGAATGCATGTTTTGTTATCATGTCAATATCATAAACACCCCGAAGAAATATTACAATGCAACTAATGATTTATATAAAATTGTGTGTTTACAAGAGAGAAAATATAATTTTTTTGTGCGAAAGTGTTTTTAAACAACGTATCATTATGGAACAACACCTCTAATTGTGTTAAAAGTGCGTGTCTCGTTGCGGTCAGTGCATATGTAAAATGTTTCAAACCCTTTTGTATCCGGAAAAAAAACTGGCGAAACCCTCCTCCCATGTCAATAATATTTTTCCTACCTCCCCTACCTTTCCCCTAACCCCAACCACCCCACCCCACCCCATCACTAATGCTGTTTTTAACACACTGACTTATGTCAATCTGTTTCCTCGTACCCTCTCTCTCTCTCTCTCTCTCTCTCTCTCTCTCTCTCTCACACACAAACTCACGCTGAACAGCGACATGTCAACACGTTTTCTTCGAGTTACTTCCCTTTATTTTTGTTCGCAAACTGAGGAAAGATATTTCGTAACATTGTTCACATGCAATAGAATATATAATCAATTATATTACTATCTTTTCAAACACCAATATCGGTAAAAAAAGAATCAAAAATATGATAACATATGATTCTTTTTTTCAGACAATGGAAGAGTTGACAATATGAAAGTGTCGGATCAACTTACCTTTGAGTAAGTTAACGTAAATAACATTACAAAATTAATCTAATCATATAAAATCACGCTTTAATGATATGGTACTTATTTATATATCTATAAAGTATAAATATAATACTAAATTCTGTTCATTTTAATAAAATAAACATATAATATATAGCAAATTTATTAATAATAAATATGACACGGAGAATAAAATTCATAATTTATTTGATATATTGTGTTTAGTTTGGCATGAATTTGTCTCAGTAAGGGAATTCTTACCTGCAGCCCTTTGGGCTACAGTGAGCGTGATGAAGATGGGTTCTGATCGAATGATTTAAAACCCACTGGAGATTGGGACTTGCAACCCCCCTTTCTTCACTTCTGACATTCCAACTGAGGCAATAAAATTGCAGCTCAACACATGGGCAGGAATGGGAATATCAAGCAATAGATAATGTAACCACCCTTGGTAGCTCACTCTCGATGTTCAAATTGAATTAAGTGGATAAATCCTTATGAGATGTTATATATTATCCGTTTCACCAAAAAACTACAATTATCTATTCAGGTAAATTGTGTATACACGTGCCATACAGTTGTGTTTAGATGGTACCAAGGGAGGCAACTGTAAGTAAATTCTCTGACCGTCTTTTTGTTATTATCAACTCTTGTCTCGGAAATATGTTTTGAGTGAGATTCTTTTAAAATGAAGATGAAAGATATACTCATTTTGTAGTGATCAGAATCCTTCTTCTTCACACACCTTATCGAGAACTACAACGTGTCGCTTGGCAGAGAATACGCGTAACTTCTGACATGCTATGCACCGACACTTACATACCTTGTGTCCGTGAACGTTGAAACAGACCGAGGGGAAAATGCTATAGGAAGACAAAGTAACTTTATGTTTGGCTTACCAATCCGCTGACCCGTTGCTATCAGTCGGGCATATAAATCCCCTAGAGAGTCATGAAGGGAAGCATTTTCATTAAATTGTGGATTTCGTATTCCGTGTGTATTTGAACCAAACCAAATGTCCTTGCAACAGTGAATGGAAAAGTGGAACTCGTTTGTATAGGGGGAACAATTCCCTGAAATGACTATGATGTTGCGAATAATTCGAATTCCTTAAGAAATGCCGTTACATTTTCCTGCGCATCACTGGAAAACTTCCGGATCTTAGAAATGTCCCTGGTAACTTTAATTAATGTAACTATATACTAAATACTGTACTGAACCTAGTTCCTTGTGTTTTGAGAGTGAGGCTGTCCGGGTCTAGATTCACTAGTAAGTCCTTCTGATACCACTAAATGTTACCCAATATTGTAGCCGCTTCTATTTTTAAAATGTCCATACATATTTCATTTTCTGGTGTGAACATCTATGGTGAATTCAAATTGGTACATCATTTAATCTAGTTTGATTTACATGTACTTTTGATATATTATTGTCACACACCCATCCTTAAATATTGATGAAAATTTAACTATTGTCATGTAGGCGTGATATCATTGGGTGACAACTGTAGTAAAAATCTCTTACTTTCTGTTATTATAAACTTATGAAATATCTCGATGTTTGTTATAAAAGTAGCAGAATAAAAACCAAGATGAAAGCTGTAGATATTTTGTTGTGTTCTGGTTTTTGTTTCCTCCCACAATATACATCAACTGCAATATTCCACAAAACAACACCATTTCTAAGTGTTATGTAAGAAATGGTCCATAAATGTCAACATTTTTCCAACGATATGAAATTATCATTGGTTGAAACAAAGGAGAGTTAATTCATCAGGGAAGTTTTTTTTTTTTTTTAACTTTTTATTTTTAATGAATTTTCATTATATGTACATCACATGACAAAAAAACAACCATACACATGCTCCCTCACATGCACACACACACATACATTCACATGTGGGATAATGAATTCATCATCATCATCATCCATAAACTATGTATACATTATTATCATTGTACTGTTATCATCATCATCATCAGCTGCAGCATCTATACACAATCATCACCATATACATGTATAACCATCATCATCCATTCATATACACATCATCATCATCATTCATTCATTCATTCTTATACAATGTGTTCATCGTCATTCATCATCATTATACTGCTATCATCATCCTCCTCATAAGCAGCATCTATACACAGTCATCACCATAACCATCATCATCTTCATAATCATCACTATCTCCATATATTCATCTTCATGATTACAATGCAGCATGATCATCATCCTCATCATCATCTATTCGTGAATACATTCATCATCACCATTGTTATCCTCATCATCATCATTACCACACATACATTTTTTGCTATACACTCACACGCAGGAAAAAACATACAGTTAAACACACACACACACACAGAAAAGGAGAAAGGGAGAGAGAGAGAGGAGAGAAGAGAGAGACTTGTGCCACTTGATGTAGTAAGACTATTTGAAAATGCAGTGTGTTGAAAGCCACTAAAACTTTATCTTCAGTGAAATAAAAATAAATAAATAAATATATCAACACGCACTGTCAGGGGATGGGTGTTATTTCTAGTAGCTTGTCCCATTTTTACCATCTATTGAACAATTTTGCCCTATTTTCTTTATCTTGTACAGTGTATATATACTTTTGTATAATGTAATTATCTTTTATAATAGATTTTAACTCTTGAATAGATAAAGTTTTTTGTAAACATCTTGTTCTATAGATGTATTGCTTCATAATGAGCAAAATAAGATTGTCAGTTGTATAGTATGTATTGTTTCTAATACCAAAAATAAAAGTTTCTTTATTGAAAGTAAATGGAATAAAAAGAGAATCTAACAAGGTCTCAAAGTTCTCAAAAAGTGAGTGTACTTCCTTTCTCTCCTATAATAAATGCACTGTTGTTTCTGTTTTACAGAAGAAGCAGTATGGACTCTCTGTCAAACCAATCTTAAATAAATATGAATTTGTGGTTAATATGTGTTGATTTATTCTATACTGAAGCCATTGTAGCTTTGAACATTTAGTTACTCTGAACGGGGTGTTAAATATACTTTTCCAAGTTTCGTCATCAAAATCAAACAATTCATTCCATTCTCTTTTTCCATTAGATACAGTTTTATTAAAAGAAAGTGTGTTATAGAAATCTTTTGAGCCCTTATTATTCTTCAAGAAACATTCTAAGTTAGTGGGTATTAATGGGTATGATACATTTTCATCTTCTAGTGTTTATGAGCAGAATAGTCTCTTATGGAATTTATTATGCCCTGATATGTAAGGAAATTGGTATTAATATGGTATTTTTCTATAAACTTGTTAAAAGTGTGATATGTATTCATGTGTGGTAATTTAAGTATATCATTAATTTTAACAACTCCTTTCTTATACCAATCCTTATAAAACACCATCTTATCATTTACTCTTATATTTTCATTAAAACCAAAGAGGAGATTTTTTAATAATGAGACAGGCCTATTTGTCATTGTCTTTTCTTTCTTGTTAAGATATCCCCAAGATTTGAATACATCCTTCCAAAATTGAGTTTTACATTTAACTTCACATTCCTGTATATATATATCCTGATCCACAGCTAGCCAAAATACTTATATCAATACTTTTGCTGAGAATATATTGCCATTTACTTGATCCAGAGTACAACCTTCTTATCCATGTTAACTTCAGTGCCATAATAAAAGGAAGGATATCTATCATTTTCAAACCTCCTTCTGTATAGTCTTTAATAATAATGTCCCTTTTCACTTTATCTACTTTATTGTTCCAAAGAAAGCTAAAAAGTTCAGAGTTTAATTTTTTAATAAAAGATATGTCTGGGTTTGGTAAAGCAATAAAAAGATGGTTGAATTGTGATACTAGCAATGACTTAATTATATGTATTTTACCAATAGGAGTAAAAACCCTTTTATTCCAGTTACTTAACAGAGATTTTAGCATAACCAATTTCTTGTCATAGTTCATTTTAATCATTTTATACAAATCTACATGGTAATCAATACCTAAAATAGTAAATTCTTGCTTTCCCTAATGCAAGTTCCAGTCTGTACAAAATTTTTCATCACTTTATTTCCTACTTCCTATCCAAATTACTTCTGTTTTACTTTTATTTATTTTCAGTCCATATATATCTGCATATTTTCTTAGTTCTTTGAGTGTCTCTCATCAAGGATGACTGACGTATCGTCTCCATACCGAGACAGTAGAATGGGAGTATTTTCTATATTTATGCCTCTTATATTATCATCATTTCTTATCTTAATTGCTAGAATTTCTGCACATAAAATGAATAAGTATGGAGAGATTGGGTCCCTTGTCGACAGCCCCTTTTGATACAAAAAAAAAAAAGGTGATAGATTGCCCCCCTGATTAATGGATGAGTTTGAACCATTTTGAAAAATATGAACCCAGTTCCTTATGTCATTTCCAAAATTGAAAAATTCCAGTACTTTATCTATAAAATCCCAGTTAACAGAATTGAAGGCTTTTTCGAAATCAACATTAAGTAACATACCAGGAGTTTCATTTTCTTCTGCATAGTGCATAATATCATATATAATCCTTGTATTTTCACCACTATATCTACCTGAAATAAAACTGGACTGATCAGTATTTATAAGTTTATCTAAGACTTTTCTTATTCTATTAGCTATTGAACCTGAAGCAATTTTATAGATTGTATTCAGAAGTGTAATTGGTCTCCAATTCTTCAAGTATTGTCTTGGCTTATCTCCCTTGGATAAACATGTTATAATTCCTTGTTTCTGCATTACTGACAAATTTTTAATATCAAGAGCAAATTGAATTGACCTTACTACAAAATGACCCAGTTGTTTCCAAAAACACTTAAAAATTCAACTGTAAATCCATCAGACCCTGGGCTTTTCATATTTTTCATATTTTTTAGAGTATGAGATGCTTCATTTATTGTAATATTACCTTCCGAATTATTTTTTTCTATATAATTCAACTTTTCTATATTACTGTTACTAAGATAGTCATTCAACTTAATGCTATGTAGTTCACAGTCTTCTGAATACAGTTTTTCATAAAATTGTTTTACTTCATGTAAGATTTCCCCTTGATTTCTTATAACTTCTCCATTATCTTTTTCTATTACTAGTATGATTTTGGTAACAAAGTTCCTGTTTGTATCTTGTGGGTTTTTCACCCTCTTCTACCAATTTCACCTTTGACCTTTAAATATTTCCTTTAAGTTTATGCTTTCTTATAGCTTCTAAATCTTTGTGGCAAACTTTTCACTCATCTATGTTTATTACATCTTTGGCTTCAATTTCCTTTATTTTCCCCTCAAATCTTGCTCTTAGCTATTTCTCTGTTTTTTCTTATAAGATGCATACGAAATGGTTTTTC